AATGGTAGGAAAGCTATACTGTAAACAGTGACGATGTCAATTTGGTAGTCCCTGCTGTAAGCAACTTGGGCCAATATGCTGTTTCAGCGATATTTACGGAATAAATATCCATATTGGATGAGCCTCACTCATGGACCATCAGTACGACACAATGACGTCATTCTAATGCCAAACCTTGACTAGTAAATTGAACGCAGTGAGCTGTCGTTGAACTAGACGATACAAAAAACGAATTGTTCATTTTTAGGTTGCTGACTTACTGTAACCTCCGTAGTACTGTAAGTTCTTCGCATTTTAGGTCATATTATAATTAATCTTATTTATATCATCCTATGCAGCGGAAATGCCTGACTCCAATAATTAATGTACCTTTCATTTCAAGATCAGTATTACAGTTGTTCAAATCTCCATTTTAGTCCGAACAAAATGAATGAATGAAATACTTCCGACGCTTTCTACAAGTAAACTGACAATCATTTTTTCGAATATTTTACGGCTCAAAGTCAGTACTTTTTATCAATCCAATCTCACATTGTGATTGATCTAGGCATTGATACCATACTCAATATTATAATGAACATCTCTACTATTGTTGTATCGCAGAGACTATTACTAACTATAGAATGAATTTTTATCGTTCATTTGGTCATCTTCATTGTACAGTATAGGATGATACAAATAGCTAGGATGAATTGGCCACATTTGCAACATTTCAGCATAATTTGAGGGTTGACCATGACTAATGTTATCCATGATCACCTTATGACCGGTTCAACCTGTCAGAAAAGACTCAAGTTAAGCAGTGCAAATTGTTCCATACGTAAGTCAATATACAATAGTATCCGACATTTTGTAATTCTATTTTACTACCTTTTGCTGAAACTGCTCTCTTTTAGAATGCAGAGAGCAGTTTGAGCGATACTGTAAGGAGTAAAATAGGATTACAAAATGCCTGAGACTATTGTATATTGACTTACATATGGAACAATGCATTTTGTAATTGTATTTTACTACCTCTTGCTGAAGCTGCTGTCTTTTGGAACGCAGAGAGCAGTTTGAGCAATACTGTAAGGAGTAAAATAGGATTACAAAATGCCTGAGACTATTGTATATTGACTTACATATGGAACAATACATTTTGTAATTCTACCTCTTGCTGAAGCTGCTGTCTTTTGGAACGCAGAGAGCAGTTTGAGCAATGCTGTAAGGAGTAAAATAGAATTACAAATGCCTGAAACTATTGCACTGTATATTGACCTACATATGGAACAATACATTTTGTAATTCTACCCTTTGCTGAAGCTGCTGTCTTTTGGAACGCAGAGAGCAGTTTGAGCAATGCTGTAAGGAGTAAAATAGAATTACAAATGCCTGAGACTATTGTATATTGACTTACATATGGAACTATACATTTTGTAATTGTATTTTACTACCTCTTGCTGAAGCTGCTGTCTTTTGGAACGCAGAGAGCAGTTTGAGCAATACTGAAAGGAGTAACATAGGATTCCAAAATGCCTGAGGCTAATACAGTATACTGTACTGTACAGTGTACAGTATACAGCAATCCACGTCATACTGTGCACTGTACTGTACAGTACATTGCACATTCATTTTGCTAGGCTCAGCCACCGTTGTTTGACGTTCACACTACAGTACGTACCGTACAGTACAGTACACTGTGTCGTGGATAGACGTCAAGTTCAACAATATTGTACTGTACAGTACTACTGTACAGTACAGTATACTGTACGCTTGTACTGTACAGTACAATGTAGAATACCGTACTCTGTACTGTAGACCAAAGACAGTTCCAATAATAAAAACAACATTGTCTGCCAAGAGCAGGACAGACCAACCGTTCAGCCCCAACAGTCAACCATAGTGGAACGACGTCAGTGAAGACTGGTCAAGACTCATCAGACAGTGTGACTGCAGTAAATTGAAAATCAACAGTCATTGAGAAGGAAAAAAAGGAGAAAACCCCAGTTGTAAAAAGAGTCCATTGGTAGTTAGGGTAATTATTTGCAAATTGGCTACTGTTGCAGAATCAATCAAGACAAAAAATCCAAGGTATTTTCTTTGTCATGATATGGTCATTATGGAATTGAATAAACGGAGTTTAGGGTTGCATCCTTTTTTTACATTGACTTTTTTCTTCCTTGTGCAATTCTATCGCCATTGGCTTGACACTGATGCTACCCTACTGTATCATACACAAGCGAATACAGTAGAAATTAGACAAAGAGGCCTAGGGCAATGACCTGACCTATTCAATTGACTGCTTTGACTTTTTTTTTTACAGTACAGTTCAGTAGAATTGTCACGGCTAGTTGAAACAACTGTAAACAGGATCAAGATTGCTTTTCCTTTTTCATAAAATGACTAACTCTTCTTTCTCTTAGATTTGATCCATTTCTTATAACGCCAAATTGAAACCAATTTATTCCATTCAAACTTGCCACCATATTGTCAACATGATCGTCAAAGAATACAGAATTTGTATGCCAATGACTGTAGAAGAGGTGTGTACCTAGAAAAAAATTGACGCTACCGTCTTCCATGACGTCCTCTTACATCCATGTTCAACCACCAGTTTTCCTTTACTTTAGTTCTTTTTGTTTTTTACTTTTCTTTTTTCTTATGGCCCAGTCCATAGTTTCATCTTACTTGTCTACAACCATTATAGCAAAAGACCTTTTCAGTTCATGATCCATTCGTGTACAAACTTGATTCAGTCGTTGTTCTCGTCTGTGAATGCTTACCACTACTATTTCATTCATCGTTGTTGTTTGAAATGACTTGCAACAGTCAACGACACGTTGCAAGCCATGACACTGTTGAATGCGAATCGTCATCATGATTGTAAAGTGGAAAATAAACTTGATTTGTAAGAGGTTAACGGCTGAAAGAGACAAGACTTGACCATGACTAAGCACCACTCATAAATTAGCAAGAGTTGGCTCTAGAACTTCAACAGTTGATGGTCTCGACTCCAGGCTTCGGAGATAAATTACAATTTGGGCCAGTGTACAAGTGCCGACTTGACGATAAGATCGCTTAGCGTACATTCTGTCCACAGACAAATCCTGAATGATTCATTAATTATTCCCCGTGTCTGAGTGGATAGACAATACTTTCAACTTTGTATCTTTGAGCACAACCATCAATTAGCAACATGATCTTCAAACGAATTGATTCAATTTCTCTTCATACGAGTATCAACCAATCAGTCCTTGTTGTGGTCCGTACAATGGATAAAACATTCTCCTGCTAACTCTATCTTGAAATGGTGTATAAACCAAAAGACCTACAGTACTGCACAAGTGGGCAGTATATGACACTGGAGATATTCGATGATACTACGTCTATTTCCAATCATACGACTGCTTTGTTTATTGATAATATTCTAATTTTGAAAGAGATCGATAGACTTGAGAGTATGCTGTGGTAGTGATAAAATGCTGATCCTAATACTATAGAGGACCCTTTCGTCAATATATTTTTATCATTGGTACAGTTAAGAAAGTAATGCAATCCCCTCTCTACTTGATGAATCCATCCACGTAATACTGGACACGAAGTCATCCATAACTATTATAATGAGCTACGGATACTTATCTTCCTAAGTACAAGTATCGTAGCAATACTTGGAAGGATACGTCATGACGACGGATATAGACTCACACAGGCGTCTCCAAATGTCTTAACATTATTAAACGACAGCAAGAATGCATCCTAGTGAAATTGATTTGATCCCAATAATGATCATGAGAAAATTGTACCAACATCGATACTTGGCCTTAAGTACATGTCTAGAGTAGTCAATAATCCATCACGATAGGTATACGTACTTAAATAAATATCCTACAGCTGATCCATTTCGGTCATCATCATCATCGTTATAATGGTACTCTAACAGCAATGATATTATCTTCAACTACTCGTACGATTGATCAATAATTAATAACCATAGAATATCATCCGTAGTGGACAATTCCTACATATCTTTCATGATGAAAGTTATGCTAACTACAGTTACTACCTTTTATTACATTTACTTTTCTAATTTTGCTTCCACAAGCATCACTTTTAAAGCAATCTTCATTGCTTAATCCCATTACTATCAAACATCGGCAGTTATCATTTCGCCTACCTTTGCTAATGTAAGTGCTGTAAGAAGTAAGGCTAAGACGTTAGATATTGACGTTATAGCACGACAAAAAAATTAACAACAAAAACACCCATAGATGAAATGTAAATAGTAGCAACAAAACCGTAGAGAGGATTGTTTTCTTTTCATCATTTACCGTTTAACCGTCTACATTATTTTTCGTTGGTTAATGTTTCATGCGTGACAATGAATCCATGATATCAAATTTAAAGCATAGCAAATTGTCCGTGGCCTACTTGATATTTTTAATCACATTTATACTATATTCCGGTGGTTGCTTATTGCATCGTCTTATTGTTTCACTTACCCTTGATTACTGTGATAGTACGAGTATTAACACTACTTGAGAATAACAGCTCAATCTTCCATACAATAAAATGCTCGATTATTCGCTCTATGCAATCCATTTACTATCACACTGTACCCAGTACAATGGGACTCTTATGTGTCAACATTGTAGTTTTCTCCTTTTTCTGCCCAAATACAGTACTATACACTACGTACGCGGATACGAGAAGTACTGTATACATGTTATGCATGGATTATCGGTACCGTATTTTACTGATGAAATTTTTTCTCGATCTTCAGTGTATCCTATTCTCTTCTAAAGTAGTGAATCCTGATCACTTGCAACTTATTCCCGCTAAAAGCTTTCCCAATCTGCTTTTATTGTAGTGACAGCTTCTTTCAATTCGATAAGTTGATCAATCAATCTACTAAAGTAACATACGATATTTATAAAGCGCTTAATGTTAAAAAAACTTGCTTACAGAGGCTCATTTTAATATTTCAATAGGCATATATCATCATATCATTGGTTAATTACAACTATATGTTCTACCGAGAGAGGGAGTAATATCATATTACACTTATACCGTTTACATTACCAGTGAATTACGTATAATTCCATCTAAGTTGCAACGAACGCCCAGAGCACGATAAACTGACAATCGTACATTAATTTACGTTTATTTTGTTTAGTCTATGAAAATAAAATACTGTACTGCAGCCCGTGTATGCATATCTAAAAAAAAATAGTTAATCTTTGTCTTCTTTGAAAAAGTGAACAATCTGACAATAGTAAACATTTCTATGTACAGTACTGTACTGTACTGTACTGTACTGTATACCGATAGCCATTATGGCGCAAATATAATCAATTTGTTAATTCTCTAGCGCTCATGATAAAGTCAATGAAAAAAAGAACTATTCAAGTATTCATCTGGTACTCTACGCCTATTGCACGATACTGACTTTCACTCAAGTTTTAGTATCGTACTAATGCTCTTTCGTCTTGATTATTAAGAGTCTAAAAAATCATTTGTTATTTGTTATTTTGAATGCTAATAGCTAGACTAATTCTCACTCGCGCTTCCTAGATCAATCCTAGATAACAATTGCAAATCTCTTGTGGGACTTATTTCTATACTTAGTTTACAATTTGTTGCCATCATTTTGCTCCTTGATCTTGCGTAATCTTGAATTTCACATATTAAATAAATTACAATAGCATGAGTCGTTCGTTACTCGACTTTCTAATCTTCTACGAATTTTCTTATTAAAATCCTACTGGTGCTACCAATCGAAAACAATAATTTCTTGCAATCATTGTATTATCATTTTCTAATCTAGGATGCCACGTATAAATAAGCAGCTTCATAAGCTTTTATTGATATACTTCGTTAAAACGTTATCATAGTCTCGTCGTTGATCTTACATAATCTCAAAGTTACTGTACTCGTATTTTCTATCGGTGCTTTATTCGATAGCATCAGATTTTTATACCGACTCCGATCTGAGATACAACAGTGGTTGAATTCGTAACTTGATACGGAGTTATCATTTAGTAATTATGAAATATTCATAGACTATTAATGTATTTACCGTCATGAATATCCAGTTCTACTGCAAATCAGCGACTATTATTGTCACGACTGCTAACATTATTACGCGTACACTGTACTGTAACTTTGCCAATCGTCAGTATCGATTCCAAATAATAAAATGATTTTATGATTTTATAAGCACGCTCGTACTGCAACATACTGTACTGTGGCCCTCCACGAACTAGCCATTACCATACTGTATAAAGTGTACCTTCAAGTCATAAAGAGATACCAGTTATAAGGATTTTCATCTTAGCCGACATTATTATAATTCGTTTTATTTTATTAAACATTCTTCTCGTTGTCATTTTATCTATGAGAAAAGTTAAACATCCAATCGATTGTCTTAATGTAATTAATATTGTGTCCAATTTGAAACTAAAAAAAAACAACGGTGATCACAATAGCACACCTACTGTTTTGACTGCTAAAAATTGCATTTCGCTTTGAATTTTGTTGCTATACTGCACAGTACTGTACAGTACATTAGATTTCGTTTTCAGTTCGCTGTTATCCTAGTTTACTGATAAACGAATTTGACAATCTAGTTATGTATAACGCATTACGTTCAGTACATCCACCAATTTGTATTTATCTGCAATACCTATTCAATCCTTGGATTAATTAATTTTCACGACAATTCTTTTATTATATTTGTCTCTTGTTTCCCTAATTCTTTTATAGTATCGTATCGGCCAATTGTACATGATAGCAAGATTCAGTGAAGAACAAAGTTGTAAAGGTTCTGGTGTTCAAGTTGTTGTAAATGAACCTTGTTATGATGAGAAGCACGGCAAAGGCCAGTACACCGAGAAGAAAATATACCTCAATGGGTAAGCTAATCTTCATGAATATACGACAAAGCTTATTACTATCAATTGTTATAATTTTTTAATTACAGTATTATGTTTATCGTATTGTTATTGCTTAATAGTAAAATAAATCCTTACAGTAATAAATATAATCCTCTTGTTATCATTCAGTCTAAATATTAATGGTTAATGTACATATCAACAGCAAACGTTAATATCCATCAGTTTGAATTTACGGTAGTTACGTTGACAAATATCGTCGTCATAGGATTTCAGCTTTAACTTAAGACGTCCTGCGCTGTACACATGTACGACGGTATACGAAAATGATATCAAACAAGAGCACGATCAATAAAGAATAAGTATTTTTGGCTACGTTGATGTTAGTCTTGTTGATACCACTTGTTCTGTTATTGATGCGCTTAAATTCGTATCTAAATCATGGCTTTAAAAAGTTAAAAAAATTTGAAGCTCATACATTTATACTCATTGACACAATCTAACTAAATTTTTTAATAGAAATGCATGGTAATCATAAACGAGTCAAGTGAGTCAGTAGCTTGGCTTATTTGCCCATAATAGTTCGTGATCCTTCATTGTGAGGGAAACAGATTATACCATAAGAGCTACACGCGTGTATAGTAGCCTCTGTACACCGAATACGATCATCACTATTGATTTATCGACGTATCAAAAATAATGTAAGATCCGGGCGCTCATGTAATAGTCTTTTGTAGCTTTTGTAGCATGAAATAAGAAAAATTTATTTAAGAATGGAAATTATGGATAGTCACAGGGTCGTTCTGTATTCCTTTCTTGTTCACTATGAAAGATAAAATAAATTATTGGCCTGATATGCATCGTTCGATAATTCAAAACATGTAGATCGAATGGGATCATAGTGTGATGATTTTGTACATAGCTTAAGATGTGCTAGGAAGACCTGTATTTGCTTGCGTGGTACATATAACATTGTAATCTAATACCGTACATCTTCATTAATTTATCTTAAATCATAGTTACTGAGTGTTAAGTTTCAAACTAATCGAGTATTCTTTATTTCACAACTCTGCCTTATATGTCCTATCTGAATTATAGTATGACTAGAGCACTATGTAGCGATACATTGAACTGTGTTATCTTAATTAAGGTCTGAGTATCAATCTCTAACTCGATCATTCTGATAGCAATAAAAAGTACTAATAGTAAATATTATTCTGCTATCATTTTGGTATTCATTGATTAGCGTTATTGTATACTATATTCGTAAAAATATGGCCGTTTAATTATATAGAATTTTTGCGTACCTAGTTCTGACTCATAAAAGAGACGCACCTTTATCAAGGTAGATGACAGCTATGTACGCACAGTGAAAAAATGATTGCATTTACGCGCGACACTTTCACCGTTATTAGCTTGATGATCCCTCTTTTTTATAAAGCTTTCAATATTATTAGATTGGTCCATTCAATAATTCTACCGTACTTGATTTATACTATATAATCATGGGTTACTAAACATACTGCACATTGACTAATCCATGATATAACGTTTTCGTATAGTTGTTATTATCAGAAACAGTTTAAATGTTGATTCTTCGTTATTTACGCTTAAAGATACATTATATTTCGACGATATTAGGCGATTACCAGCTTGGCTTGGCAGTATTCTTCCAAATATTTTTTACATAACCGAGAAAGCATGGAATTATTATCCGTTTACAATTACAGGTTAGTCAATTGAGCTATAGATAATCTTTTGGAAACCAAGACTTGAACTCATAGTCTATATCATAATCTAGTATATTATTAATGGAATGGTATTTTTCTTATTCAGTGTTGTAAATTAGAATGACTGCGTACAAATGTATTGCATTACTCAATATTTACATTTTGTCTTTAATTAGAATGATTCGTATAATCATTACGTCAATAATGATGACTTAATTATCGATCTGTCCGACTGGTACTAGTTGTAAACAACCTCTGAAAGTAGTAATAATAATGTCTCCTAATACTCGCATATCGGCAGTTTAATACATTAACGTTTAGTTAATAATAATTTGTATTTAGACTAGTTAAGATGATTGTGATTAAAGTGATCTTTCCAGGATCATTTAGCTTAGCTTAAAAGCTTCAACTTTATCGTTATTCGCCGGTTTCAGATAAACTCCATCCTAGTATCAAGTAAATACCTCAGCTATGCTTCTGTATGTCAGACCTTGGTCTGATTCTATGATCATACTTCAATGATAGACCTAGCATCTATCGATAGACGCTGCTTTCACTTTTCGGACTTAAAAGTCCTTAAATTTTGCACACATCCAATATCTCTATGCCTTGCTTACAAAATTTGATTTCCAATATATATTTGTTGAAATGATAATCATATTTTTAAGTGTAAATGACGCAGCATTAATGCATGGAAAAGGAGTAATAAATTCTCGCATAAAATTTAGTATTCTATGACTAAGCAGCACAATTTGCGTCTAGCTCGTCTTGAATAACATAGCATTTAGGAGGGTCTACTAAAATTACTAGTCCTGCATTTACCTTGACTCCTAATACTGTATTAATGGTCATTACCATTAGCTATTTGTGAATACTCTACTCCATCTCGTATATTGTATCATATCTGCGTTTTAGTATAGAATTTCTTGATTAATAGCGTCTCTTTCGTAGATTCAAACTTTTAGGCTTGAAAGTTATAGTCCCTAAAAATAAAATCTGATCATTTTCCTTTATAACAAAGCAAATATCTTACGCTTTATGCGAAATTGCTTTTAATAGAATACTTCATATTCTACTAATATTCTACTCAGAGGATGCATCGTCACGACTTGACCGTGTATGTCTTGCTGTGCAGTGTCTTACTCTCATGGTTTATGTTAACTTTACTCTATCACCTATTTATCCCGAACTAGGCATATTTGAATAGCTATAATTTCATTTCCATTACAAAATAGATCATATATTCTACTGTATTCCTGTATTTAATCGTGGGTGTTGATATTTTTTGCTTTCCATATCTGTACTGTCTTATGGTATATCCTTGCCTCCACTACAGAATATACGGTAGGTACTAAACTAGAACATATTGTAAATTAATTTTAATATGCACCAATAGCGGTACTTGACTACACGATCTGTTCCTATTATTTGAGATATGTTAGCATTATTTTATTTGATTGCAGTGCTCATTTATTCCAAAATTTCACGTCAAAATCGAGACGACTTATAAAGATGATAATGGCAAAGACGAAAATGTAAGTTATTTATAATTTTAAAGCTATTGCGATTGAACAAAGGTTGATTTATGATAAAATATGGATTAAATCAATGTCTAGCAGTTATAAATTATTCAGAACCCGATTGAAAATGTTTTCCTTGCCATTACATGATAAAACCGTAGGAAAAATTCTACAAAGGTTCTTTCTAAAATTTTGAATTGACTCTTATCTAGGCACTCGATCTACCTGAAGAAATCCTATCAAAACGTGAAGTTTTTCATTTAGATATTGCTTATGATCAACTGCCTGATAAATATTATGTCAAAGAGGAGGTTGGGTAGTGTTCTCATTAAGCATACATAGCATTATAGCAGTATACTAGAAAGATATGGCTTTTTGCAAAAATATATGCATTTCTATGAAACAAAGAGGCAAATAGGGCTATAAGATATCCAGTAGTTATTATTTTTTACTCGTTACTTATTCATTGACGACATTTATTCTAGTAAAAATAGCATTTAATGGTCTTCCACCGATATTTCTCCACTATTAGCAGTAAACCACTAACGAAATTTACAACTTGATTTGATAAATCGTGCATTAACTTGTATTTAACGCCATCAGTTTTACGTAAACCCCATATGACTATGTCTATTTTAATCTCTCTGATGGAACACGAGAGGACATGCTTGAGTAAAATTTTTTGTCGGCAGCCATTTTAATTTTGGAGTGGCTGCGAGCCAAAATGATTAATGATTCTTTATTTACACTCATGACTTTTCTACTTTATTCTACGTGGTAATGGGTAATTATTTACCGATTAACTATACTGTATATAAGTATATTTTACGTAGCTGTAATGCTAACGAAAATATTCTTATATCAGCATACGTCATATATTCGTATGTAACTGTTTTACATAAACATCATTTCTAGGACTGTCGTTATTTTCATTCGAAGAAAACCAATCGTGGTCCTCTAGCTGAAAATTGGAAGGTGAAAATATATCTGAATAACTTGTCCTAGCGAGTCTATTATAATTGTCGCATAGTAGTAATCCGACCATTATCATGAATGATAATTAACTGTAGCAAAAGTAATGTACATGTGTAGAACTCTTTGAACCACAACTCTATGCTGTGTATGTGCTGTTTAACAATTTCAGAAATTACGTCTGTCACATTAATATCGTTAATCTCAACATGATTTAGGAATCTTGCAAGCCAATCATGTGCTCATATAAAGTTGTTAGCGTATCATTTAGTATGTGGGGATTCCAGCAGAGAGTGGAATCATTTACTCATAAGGTAAATTACATTTTGCGAGATACGAGTATGTGTGGAAATAGTGAAGTTATAGTAGTAATCGTAAAATTTTCTTCTATAATTTAAGAACATTCGTGATGTGTTGGTACATGGCCATAGACAAGCATTTGCTTGGATCGATGAGTGGATTAGTAAGTAATTAAAAGCAATGTTCAGTATTCTATATTCGCAGTGTATATCTGGGAATGACGGTTATTGTATAGCTTGTCATTTTAACGGAGATAAACCCGAAACTATAATACCTACTGACTTAAGTAACGCTCTTCATATTTACCTTACTTAAATAAACAAACTTGGTAGTTTTCATTGATATTAGCAACTGATGTCATTTCATGAATCTCTGTTGTTACGTTACACCAGGAAAATATTTTATATTAGTCAGATTTGTTACATTATAGCAAACAAGGAAGCAAATTTATCCGATGAGTACTAATTTTAGCATCTTTAAATGTATTTCGCAATCATCTATCAAAATTAAATGTATTTCCTCAAAATTTTTTGTGACTAAACAGATATGACGGTAGACGACGTTCGTGATTTCGAAAGGAAGGCGCAGGACAGGACTAACGAAAAGTTGATGCAAGAGAATACGGACATAATAGAAAATGCCGACAATGGAACCAGTAAGAACGGAGAATCGCCTCCAAAAGCATGTAGCACTAAAAAAGGATCATCTACCAGAGTATAAACTACTAAATCTAAAGTAGTTATACTGTTATTCCAGTTTATTAACTATTGCTTGTTGCATCAATTCGATTTACAAATCTCATGATTGGTAACGCTTGAAAATATGGGGAAAAACGTAATTGTAAATTTAGGAAAGTATAAGAATTTGGACCAAATTTTTTGAGATTAGCCTTATTAGTAAATTATTTTGCACATAATGTGACTACACAATATAACGACAGTGAAATAGCCAGGATATTGCTATTTTATTGGTTAATCTTGTAGCGATTTAAAGTTATACTTAATTGTATCAGAATTCACTTATCACAGTTTCCACGATTCTATTTTCGTACAAGCATAACTTATTTTATGTTATAGATTCAATTTTCACATTATTATCACTCAATCAAAAATTCTTTAAGCTACTTAATTTGCATTTTTCTTTTGATATTTTGACCGTGACTAAACTGTTAATGTCATGACTTAAATGGAATGAAATGGTAAACTATTTAATATAAATATATGCCTGAAAATTTTATGTACTGAGGTCGTAGTATACTATCTTCTTCATTCAAGTGACTGTTTTTTGTATTGAACGATATATGTGTGTTATATTTATTGTCTAAATGAGCTTGCATATGGTTCTATACGTTTATCATTTTGTTTTTATATATATACAATGAATAGAATTATTTTCTAGTTATATCACTGAAAGCACAAAATCACGTAGTAATGTAACGTGTGTTACACGAAGCTAAATTACTCATCCTAGTCAAGAAAATTGTTCCTTGAATGAGAATGAATTAATGAACTGCTTTTCATTATTAAGTAGTATTGCATTATTCCTATTGATGTAGCATACAATTTACACTATGATTGCACTTTTCAAATCCAATCTTAATAAATATACTTATGTTTATTATTATCACCAATACTCGATGCTTTAGAGATTTATCGATTTGTCAGTAAGAATTGTGCGCATCAATAGTACGTTCTGCAAATGATTTTAAAGACTTTGATATTTTAAAAAAATATTCCAGGTACCGTAGTTGCCAGGAAATTTCTATTTCTTGCGAGATTATTACATCTTGCTTGGATGAATTATCAGCCTTTTTGATACATTCTTCACCTGTTATAGGTTTTACATTTTTTAATTTGCGCTATTTCAAAGTATAATTGCATACGTTCATAAGAACTGAGACATTATTCAGTAATAGTAAATTCCGCGTTATAAAATTTAAAATTTATTACTACCACTTTTAATCTAACAAACTAAACAGCAACCACCACCTTTACCGTCCTCGCACAGTACGACTGAATTTGTTGTGCATGTTAATGTAATGTTACTATGATTCTAAAGAGTACGGTAATCTAACAAAAGTACACAGGATGTACCCTTGAATTCGCTACAAATAATAATCAAAATCTGTACTAAAATTGATAATTCATAGCATTATTAACTTGAGCTAGTGAAAGAGGAGCATCAACCCCTTACTCACTCACAATATTACAAATAGAAATCTGTTTGGTTATGTTGCAATTTTTTTCTTTCGATCTTTGACGAATGCAGATTCCTAACTTCGTCTCACCCATAATTAAACTGCCTGATTTGCTGCTAGACATTCCTAAAATATCTTTTTTTTTTTCCGGGTGAGTGTAGATATCCGATAAAAATATGCTGATTAACATTGCACTCTGTATTGTGCATAGTGCATACTCGTATTCATAGCATTATATTTAAATATTTATCAAGATATTAAATTTCTTGTTTTTGTCGCTCGACGATTCAAAGTACCGTAATATAAAACGTTTGATCATGTATTCTTTTTAGCTAACTGTTGGTATGCAAATACATACGAATATAGCTGTAATAAATACATGACCAAACCAAGGTATAGTGGGGCTGTATTACGGTGATAATTAGCGATAGCGAATTTTGGACAAATATCGGTCAAAATAAAAGGATAAGATTTCTAGAACAGTCAATATTTTGATGAAAGAAGTCGTGTTTTACATGCCCATAAATATCATACTTTCAATCGCTCAGTTATCAATACGCATTTACTATAGTATGACATGGTATGATTCTAATTAATGAGCAAGAAAGCTATAGTCTAATTATAAATTAAGCCATTAAAATTAAAAACATAACTACAGTTTATGAATTGACATTGCTTATGCAAGAAAAAATTCGATTCAATAACTATTGCAAAATGATATTAATGATAGAAATAGCTATTAACTACGGAAGATGAGATAATTTACATCATCTTCTAGATAGTACAAGGAGATGGTCCATTCCTAAATATATATTACATTATCGTAGATTCAAGTAAATAAAAGGCCTCGTAGACGATTAAAATGATAATTCAATGACCACATCCAGTAAAATCTGTAGGATACTTACAGTAAATAACGGCAATCCTAAAGAATAAAATATTACATCTAGACGTTTATTATATCAATTGACACATCAAAGTCTCCACTTTTGTCAACTAAGAAATGATGAACTAATTGAAACTCTTAAATTGTATTGAATTGAAAAGTATCTATTCATTATATACTAATGCTAATTTGTCAAAAAAATATCCAATATCAATATAACTATTACTTGGGACCGTAGAAAGGTATAAATAAGTTAGTGAATGTATCGTACAATTTAACACAATATATCATACGTAAAAATAACGCATTGAACCTTGTGTAGCGGTAACCATTAACTTAAATATTATCAGCTACCAATTGGGTAATGAGTATACATATTGTTCTATAAAAGTTCACTTATCTGAATGATTTTAATATAAAATTTTTGAAGGAAAGTATTTTATAATTAATTAGAGTTATTATTAATAACCAAAATGCGACAAAGTCACAATTCGTTGCCCTTGAAAAATTTATCCAATAAAATATGGATTGTTGGTTAGGGAGTTCGCGTATACAACATGTATATAGTATATTTACAATTGTGTCTTATTATAATATATACGACCACAATTTGACATGTTGGGTACTTCAGAAATGCCGTTTGCTGCTGCAAAACTTTTATTTTTTGCAAGATTTTATCACAATACGATTCGAAGATTTTACTAGTGTGTGACCATTGAACTGAACTTTAATATCGACCGTATTTCCGTTACAAACCGAAATCATTTGCGATAACCCTCTTCAATGGCATATCATGAATACTAGCGTGTATGCACTAGATTCAGTGGGTAGAATGACTTTATTAAATATTTAAGGAACAGCATTGCTACTGATCATTCAGCTATGATTGCAAACCACTTTTCGCCATAAATAAATTGAGCTAAACGTATTTAAGAACTACTGATAGAAGTTCGTGTCTGACTTCGAACTTAAAATGCCAGGTTCTTGTTATTAGTTAATACTCTACTATTCTTAAACCTTGTAATAAAAGCCCTTTATTTAATTTTGCTTTGACCTAGGCAATTTCTCCTTTAAGAATTGCATCCCTTAGATCAAAAAGAATCGATAGGTACTTTTTTTTAACAATATGCCTTATATCGAATTGTATACAGTACATGTAAATGTAAAAATATTGAAATATTCATTCAGAATCTACCTAAGCTAACAAAATAAGCTAATAACTGAATACCCAAAAATGCCTAAGAGCATTTCTATAAGTTTCTAATTATTTCAGCTAGGCTTAAACTCTTCTTTGTTGACTAAAATTTCGCTATGTCATCTTATCAATTACGGTAATGCCGCAGTAATGGTAGTTATTATAATACATTCACCGTCGAAAGTATCATAAGATTTTATCCGAATTAAGAAACAAAAATGTTTATTGAGAAACTAGAGTATTTACCAGGATAATAGAAATGAAGTAAGGTTAAGAAAGTGAAAACGTAAGTTTTAAACAGCGAGAAGGAATTGAAAACAGTTAGAGTAGAGAGAAAATATTAAATAATATCATATGTTCATACCGTACAATGTATAATTAATATATGGTGGCAATTGTAACACTGTCCAAATCCAATTACACTTCAGCTTTCGTTTAAAGGAAGTAGCTGGAAAACGAATGAAGATAATAAATTAAATTAAGTACAAGCTCGTATAAGAAACAGGTTCCATCGGTAAAAGTCAAGATTGCCTTCATTGTTACTCGAGGATTAATTTAATTTTCTAAATATTTTAGAGAACACTAATACTATTGCTTTTTCATAACTACATTAAAGTGATATTTAAGAATTATTCTGATCAATTCCAGCAAATGGATAGCATTATTTGCTTCATAGCTTGATGTCTTACTTTGGTCGTAACATATGGCTAGTTTACTTTATGTAGCAGACGATCCATTCTGGAATATAACAAATTAAATTAGTTTCATCAGGATTATTATTCGATCTTTATAAGAGTTACAGATTTCAGAGCTAGAGCTCGTATACGCAACTAGCGAATTAATAAGCTTTATCAGAAGCTTTTATTCAAGATGGGAAACATTGTAATTGTTTATGATAGAGACAAAGTCTGGCAAGCATATTATGGAAAATCAGAGATTAGTTTAAAATTTCGCGTAAACACTTCACGCCAAGATTATTAATATGCTACCCTAAAGAATATGCATTATCAAAGTAGAGCCTAATCTAGTTGATAAAAAACGAACTACTAAATTTCGATAAAATTGCCTACATCTATACTTTTTCTAGCACCTACAGCTACAATAAGTATAGCAACGTTCTATCCTGTTTGTAAATAAAAACATTATATTCAACAATTTAAGTTCTGCTCGACCTTTACATAATCAAATTATTACCGGTACAAGTACAAGTAGCTTCCATAACGATACGACATCTTCAGGCCAAAATTACTGATATGCTATTCTATAAGCATTACTAATGCACAGTCTAATCTGATTGATAGAAAAAAAAGGGCTACTAAGTTTCAGTAAAATCGCCTTATTCTGTACTTTCTCTAGCTCCTACATCTATAATAAATATAACGTTCTGTATTACTTACGAATAAAAAAAACTGTAATTAATAATTTACATTAAGATCGACCTTTATAATCGAATTATTACCAGTATTAAGTAGTTACCATAACGACGTAGCACATTGACCATTTTTATGCTTTAACGGAGTATTTTTACTACTGTCTTCACTAACTGAGGCTTACATTCGATTCCAAAGTGTTTTACACTTTCCTATGCGTAGTGGGTACGTGTAAATTTATTATCCAGTAATTTGTTATTATAAACTTCTATCCAAGGCCCTTGGTCAATGACGAATTACCAGGTCATCCTTTTATTCCTGAGAAATAATATTGTCAATTATTGGTATTTATTTATTTTATTGAGAAGCATTGAACAAAAACTCTGGTATTACTTGTATTTAGGAAAACATTAAAAAAGTAAGATTTCATATTTGAGGAAATTCGTTTATTAACGAGCTTACGCAACAACTTTACAGGTTTATTTCCCGTAATTAAACAAATCAGAGTTTGGGCTTTACATAGTTGACATAAAGGCGATCTTATTCTATAATAGATCTTTCGATTAATCTAACTCCAGAGACTTACCAGCAACGGTAACCTGGAATTATTTCAATTGATTCATAGTTTTATATCAGTGTTTTAGTTCATACGCGTAGTTCTATTTATGTAGGCAAAAAAACATACGACTATAATATTAGCAGCATTGAAGAATTTTTTCCTATTTTTCAACTCTAAAATAGCAATATTTCTACCTGTTATAATTCTCCACTTAAATAAGCAGAACTCGCTTTGCTAAGGTACTCAAGCTAGCCAGTACACTGGAAACGATTCTTTATTTGTGATTAGATACCTTTACACCGTGAACTAGGTCCCCCGTCAGTCTATCAACTAGAAGTAGGAGCTATATCACACGTTGCACGTTACGTTACGTTTTTATAAAATCTTGCTGTCGGAAGACTGCTAACTATGCAGTAGTATTAAGAGGATTGATTACAGATAAATTTAACTACATGTCTTGGTACAGTAATGGAACTATGCAGAAAGTAGATATAGTTGCCGAGTTGCGCCATATATCCTATCCGATAGTAATGACGGTACCTATTCTTAATCTAAAATTGCAACACTATCCCAACCAGCTATGAAGCCAAATTTTCAAGTTTCTCATTCCAATCTTATTTATTTAATTGAATTGTTAAATTAAATCTTGTAACGGAGTATCTTTTACTTAGTATTCGAACATATGGGAGCCATTATTAGATAACTATTGTAGGAATTTACGTATTTATATATTATAAACCTACAATAATATTTCAGACAATTGTTGAGATAATTTTTACTTTTATATTACTAGTACTAAATCGCGTTTTATGAATAAGTATAAATTTCTGATTTAATGTTGTTTGTACCACATAAGGGCAGATTAGTTGCTATAATGATAACTAGTGCTTGCGTAGTTAGGGTACAAAGCTTTAATCGGCAGATGCTACCTAGGGCCTTCTGGCAATAGTTGATCGCCAACACTGAATCATGATAACATTTAATATCCTAGGCTATCAATATAAATAAAGCTCTGAAAAGTTTACGAAGTACTCCGACTAACGTTCTGTATCTATACTTTATTCAATATACGCCAAATACTATTTCCTCTATGCGAAAGGTAGCAACTATACATACGTTTATTCAACGATAAATTTTCAATAATACCGTGCGATATTAGCCAAGCAGCGTAAGAAAATCCGAAACTAATTTCAGGTAGGTTTGTGGATTCTACATTATAGAAGATTATAGAGCGATGGTTAAGAAAAAAATTCTCCATAATTTTATTCCAATTGAACTACACATGTTTTTGGTACACTCTACTCAATATATGGTAAAATACTGTCTCATCCATGCGTAAGTTGGTAGCTATATAAACGTTTATTTGTCGATAGTTCCTCCATAATGCCCTGCAATTGAAGCCAAGCAGCGTAAGAAAATCCGAAACTAATTTAAGACAAGACAGTAGATTATAAAGTGCAGATATTTGTAGAGAGACTGTTAGAAAACTATTTTCTTTTCACAATCCTAGCCCTATTGATTGACACATGTTTTTAATTAAATACGCAAGTACCGGATGTTAAGCTGCAATATGTACTGATTTATAAGATAATTAAAATGCGGCATTACCTTCCAAATTATCACAATTCTACGTTTTTTTTCAGAGGTTACTGGTAGAATTTCCTTACGATACCTACACGAAAAATACCGATATTCATGGCGTTATCACTAGTTTTGCTTTGGTATTGCATTTTTCTTATTAATAATTCACAAGGTTCAGGTACGAAACTCTTTTCGCTTACAGGCAGTGCTGATTTAATGATTACAAATCATGCAGCAACTACCATCAGTGAATGAATTTTAGGGAGATACCCTGTCTTATGATGTGTTGAATTTTTGACCCAAGAATCAGTGGATGTCTTTCTGAATAAACAACTGAATCATTTTATTTAAATATTTACTGTACTGCTTCTAATAGTCGTTAGTAGTGGTAAAGCACTTTTGCGATAATATACCAATAACATTATCCAGGAAATTCTATTTGTTTTTGATATCCTTTGGATTAAATTTAAGGGTCAGATAAATGGCCGTTACAAGTACATTAAAAGGAATTATATTTACAAAGTAATTGTTAGTTTTTATGAGTGTAGTCTGAGTAGCAAGTTTTAATTCAGTGCTATTCAAATAAAATTTTCATTCCATTCCTAGTGCAGTATGTGTTGACTTATCTGAATCAGTATTTATCGTTGGTCTGGATCATAATAAATAATATTTACCGATTTTATTGAGTGAGATATGAGCTTTACCGAGATCAATGCTTATTTAGTACGACAAAGTATATAAAATTATCTCTGTATTTGAATGAAACAAATTGATATACCAAACTGAACTTTTAGAAATGTAGTAGTTTTTGCTTTATCTTAAAGACACCTAATCACAGGCTTAAATAAATCTAGAAAGAATAAATTATTGAAAAGGCATTCACTTCGGCTAGTAACTACATAATATAATAGCCGTGAAATATGGTCGCTTTAAAATAGACAATATAGCTACGAATTTCTATAAATTATCATTATTAATCAAAATTATTGAAATCCCCAGATGGCCTTTGATAAGAATATCTTAATGGATTTATATTCATTTACTGACAGTCAAGAAATGAATTTTATGTGTTTTATTATCACGTTGCAATAGAGATCCAGTGTCCTAAAACTTGTGATTGTCAGTTTGCTTCTAAAATACAATGCACAAATCCTATATTGACCACGTTTCCAACCTCAGGAGCAGTTTTATCTACTGTTAGGCAACTGTAAGTATTGTCTATTAAAGTATCTTTATTATAGGTACTTAAATTTAAAGTTAAGCTTCCAGCTCCAATAAAGAATAATAGCGAATCCGACTTTTCTACGTCGTATATAGAAAATGATGACTTTCTGCTAAAATAAATTCCACTTATAACTTGAAAGTTTAACATTTAATTAATGATTAATTTAATAATGAAATACAGAGTGATTATGGGAACAAAGATTCGATCTGTCGGAAAAGATAATCTCTTTAATTATCCAAATTTAACACTGCTGTAAGTCAAAGATATTGCTGGATACTGGTTCAATTACATATTTCCTTTAAATTAAATCACTTAGTCACGCTAATTTTTCTAATCAATGTCGTACATTGACAACTTAATAAATATTCAAGTTGAGTTTATAGATTATTACTACTCAGAGGTTGACCATTTTAATTTAGAAACTTAAAGAACAATAAAATTGAAGACATTCAAGATGGGGCCCTTGCAGGATTGCATAATTTAAAAACACTGTAAGTTGAAAAGACTCTTTTAATAGAGTACTTGTTTCTCACGAAAAATCTTCTCAAAATTTGAAGAATAGTCTCTACATATGCAAAAATGCTTGAGCTATTATTATCATCATGATCTGCGAAGTATTTTCTATTAAGTCACTATGTATCGATTATCTAAATACGTCTGTCTTCTATATTACTTTATACAGAGTGCTTGATCAAAATGTGCTGGATGATTTAATCAATCAGAGAACATTCGAAGGATTATCAAATTTAACAACTTTGTGAGCTACACGAGTACAATGAGGATGGAAATGTGCAAATAAGAAAACAGATTTATCAATAAGTTGATAACATAATAGTCAGCAGCATTTACTATAATTTTATTGCTACAAAAAACTATAAAATGTTACTGGCTTTATCTTAACAATTAATTTGACAGTTATTAGTATAGTGTAGATATTATTTAGGAGCCTATAGTAGCTAAAGGGTTTCGATAGTATTACAACGTATTTATTAGAAGCACATCAGCCAGATCATCTTCTCTAAAATAACGTAGAAATCCTAAAATATATTATTTTATCATTTGAAAGTTGGCAATGTTGCACTAATTTTGAATCGGTTTGTCCATTTAGACATTTGGGATATAACAGGATAAAAAATATTATAGATGACGTTTTTGCCAGATTACATAGCTTGGAATCACTGTAAGTTTCCCTACATCAGTACTGTCAATTTTTAATAATTTCCATGTTAATGTTGCAGTATCTAAGAACATTTAGCATTTTAGACTTGAGGATATACTATCTGAAGGATAATTCGCGTATTTCTAAACTATGATATTGTACTGTTTGTAATTCCTGAAACTTCGCTCTGTCCATCCATTGGTGAATAACATTAATGTCTCAAAAATACCGTGTTAATGATTACTAAACTGGCATAGATCGTTGCACTACAACATGCTTCATGAATTAACTTCTCCAAGAATATTCCAGGGATTATCAAGATTGAAATATTTGTAAGCTAAAAATAAGTGATAAATAACATTATCCCGTAATAATAATGTTGATTAAGCGACAAACGTCCTATCGACTATAAATTTTAGTTTCTTTAAGATCATAACATAATATAAGTTGGTTCAATACTAGCAGCAGTTCCTATTTGTTTGACACTCATAGCAAATCATAATTAGTAAAAACCGATTTTGCTTTAGAGTACTAATGAAATAAAAACAGCTGAAACATCATCCGATGATTTAAGCAGTATGCACACTACGTAATAGAATCGCATCATAACTACTTGAAATGAGTTAGTAGCGATAATTTTGAATTGACATTTATCAATTTAGGTACCTGTATAACAATAAGATAGAGAAGATCTCAGATGGAGTTTTTGCAAGCTTGCACAGCCTGCAAAAACTGTAAGTAATTGTAATAAAGCATAATTACTCTTCAATACAAATTATACAGCGATTGGGTGTTTGTTTACTTCCATAATAAGGTTTTCTTAATATATTACTGTTATTCGCTAATGATTGCTATGCAAGCATTTAAACGATCTTCTTTATTCTAAAAATAACATTGTAACTGTTTATTTTCGAAATCTTGCTCAATTCGTTTATTGGTATATATTAGTAATAGCTCGAAATATTAATGACTGTAAAATTGATGTAGGTCTTTGCAGTACAATACGCTACACGATATAACTTCTCCGAGAATATTTCAAGGATTACCAAGTTTAAAAGACCTGTAAGCTATAAAACAGTAAATTAATAACGGCATCATCTGGGAATAATTTCGAATAAATTATTAGCATCCATAGATTAAATAATCTTAATATTTATATTTAAATTATTTAAATATTTAATGTTCTTTGTAATCTCTGTACGATGTCAGATGACTCACTATTATAATAATTACCGTCCGCATAAGACTAATACGGCAGTTCAATAACTAAAACAACTGATTGTATAGTTGAGCATCAATAAAATAGCAAGAGCTAGAATATCTAGTAATGATTTAAATGATATGCAAATAACATCATAGAGTGGCATCGTCCCACTTGCTAAAATACATAACTATAATTTTAACATTTTGGATTGGTTTTTGATGATCCAGGTACCTGCACAATAATAAGATTGATAGGATTGCGGACGGAGTTTTTGCAAGTTTGCATAACCTACAAGGGCTGTAAGTTACGAATCTTGCAGTAGAATAATTACTGTTTATTGAAAATTATACCAGTAATATATGATGTTACTCCTAGTCAGTTGAGGATACTTAGCTAGATTAAATGAGCTACAGCTTAAAGTTATCATGAAATAATACAGTTATTGTATATTCTTTACTATTCAGTAACATAAGAGCTTTAAGTTACTTTATAGACTAACTAAAATAATGGTAACTTATAAATTTCTTTATGATTTAACAACGTCTCTTCTTTAGTAATCTTATATGTTTATATAGACAATCTCTGTAAACTGTTCTAAATTCTAAAACTATGGTATAATTCTTAAATTGCTTAATTATTGGGCTTTAATGATCATCATTTCAGATACTTGTATTCAAACATATTAACTACATTGAATTCTTCAAGAATCTTTGAGGGATTGTCAAACTTGAAGAAGCTGTAAGCTATGTAGATATACAGCTAGAATTTAAGATAATATGAGAAATATCAGTGGTATATTTGCGCCAACTTCTGTATCATCATAGCACATAGATTCTAATTTGTATATCATATTGAATAGATTACTATATCCAGAAATATTTTAGTTCAGTGGTTTTTTATTTAGGAAACTGAATATTTGAAATACTTAGATCAATGCATTGCTTGAAATCTGAGCATTGAGTGTTAACTATGAGTTTAACGGGAATTACGATATATTTTTCTTTGATATAGGTATTTACAGAAAAACAGGATAGAAAAAATTGGAGATGAGGTTTTCATAAACTTATATAATGTAGAGAAACTGTAAGTTATGGTACATACAATTCATTTTTAAGATCTAGGTCTTTGCAAATTAAAGGAAATATTTACGTTAACTATAAAATCATATTATAATTTTTGAAGTTCAAATTAGCCTATCGATATCAATGCTTATTCTTAATCTCTCTCTGTTTAATAATGTAGAGAATTAGAAGAAAACATATTGGATGGTATGAATTCTTCTGGAATTTTCAAAGGATTGTCAAACCTAAAAAGTTTGTAAGTTATACTGCTGCTTATCAGTTAATAACGACTGATACTATCTCTTTAAATCTATCGTTAATAAGCTGCAAGTTTATTATACTATGTTTAAAATTCATTCCATGCAATCTACTGTCTCCTTTTAAGACTACTATCTTTAGAATCATTGACTTGTACCATCTACTATATTTGTATGGTTACCATAACTGAAATCTATATTTAAACAATAAAGTTTTAACTATTGAAACACGTAGTTTATTTTCTGATTATACCCATCACTATTTCCTTACAGCAGCACTTACTGAAGTATATACCATAAATTTCGTTCAGTCACCATCGCGTACATATTAAATAAATATTATGTACATGTTTTCATTGCAAAATTTATCTTGATGAATTATCTACTTCTCTAATATTAGCCAAGTTAAAAATTACTCCAAGATCCGTCAAGTAATATAATATTTCATAAATATTAGAGAGACTATGAGACAGGATTTTAAGGATTTCTTACTTGAGAGTTGTTGTCTTGACTTTGATTCAATGTAATTTCGTTGCAGATATTTAGATAAAAATAAAATATCCTACGTTGCTGATGGAGTTTTTCTTCCAATAAAAGGGCTAACATATTTGTGAGTTTGTAAAAATGTAAACATTTAAAACATTTGTACATATGTATATTATAATTTAAAAGGTTACTACTAAGCTTAGTTTGACATATATTATCAGTCTTCGATTATAAATTTATTATATCGATTATAAAGCTTTAGTCAAATAAGCAAATAGCACTTCTATGTCAGTAATATTTAGCAATAAGCTTAGATCAATTTCACTTACCAATTTCAAATTTCGGTAAAATCTTTCAATACCTTGAAATATAGTATACAAAGTCACTCTAAGATTTGTGTCTAGTAAGATTAACTTCTGTATGGGCTGTATTGGTATTCGCTAAATGTCGCAGTTGCAATTACCAACAAGCCGGTTATTATAGTTAGCTGAAAAAATTATTAAAATCATTCAGCATTTCTTTAGTCAGAGACGGACTCATTGTGCCAACACCATTGGCTTAATATTTGCGTTATGACTATTTTCGTTTTGTTGTATTAAATGATATTGCTTATAATAACTTAAAATACTGCCTATTTTCGACTATTCTAACTATCACCGTGCGATAAACAGTGGCCAAAAGGCTTAGTAGTTATTTCAATAGTAACTAATTCAGATTTATTTCTCTGATGCACTTGCACTCTCATTATTAGGAACATTATTTTAGAAGTTTTTAACAAGTTCATTTATGCCAATTATAACAACGGAGATTAACATATCTTCAAGTATGGAATAATAATTTATCAACGTGCATGCTTCTAAAATCGATGATCAATTTTATCAGTTGTTTAATTAATTAAGCTCAATATACGTAAGTCAAAGATTATCTGATCTTAACGGACTGTAGTTATTATTATTAAGTAAATTAAAATAAGATCCTACATGCTGATCATAATACCAATTTGATAAAGTCAATAACTCGCGTATTCATATTATCGGCTTAGGAACCAATATAATATTACACGTAACAGCAGTAAAGTTCTAGTTATAGCTATAAAAAGAGTAGGTATTCTAGACTAGTGAAGAGATAAAGGATTGATATGCAAAGATGATAAAATGATAGTCTATTTCCACGCTTAAAAATAAATAGCCTTTGCAATCAATTTGATGTGAAGCACTTTGATATTAGTAAAATTCATTCAGTTGCCCGGCTTTAAGAAGTAAATACATGTATTCAGAATATTATTATTCATAACTTTAAAATTATTACAATAATTATAACGCCATTTCACTCTAAAAAGGATTGAATAAATTGCATTTTGAATTGACTAAAATATAATTGATTATTCACAGGAGGTTATCAAAAAATGGGATTCGTCATATAGATGACATTCATATTAGTGATTTAAGTAACTTGCAGCAGTTGTAAGTTAGAAGTAAATCAATTCAATTAGGACAGATATGTAGATTCTGCATCTTATAATTTTATTGCTGTATGCTTTGGTAAAGTTTATTGTTTTCAATTCTTAGATCACTATCACGGAACAGAATTAGCGAATTGCCTGCCGGAGCATTTAAAAGCATGACCAAGTTACGGACATTGTAAGTACTTACTGCTCCATATTCAAAGTAAACTATTCGCCTAGTCAGGCATGAACAAAATATCGAACTTTTTAGATCGAAATAAGTTAAAATGCATTACCGCGTCATATATTTGCTTATTATTTCATCAAATTTTTGGAGATTGATATTTGTCAAAATCGATAGCTATTTGTACGATCGTTTAGAAAAATACTTCACATTTTATGGATCATTATAAAAATATTTGTGGATATCAATTATTGAATATTTAGATATTTCTGTAAAAGCGTTAATACCAATAGTAAAAATTGGCTATGGACTAATTTACTCATCAGAAAAACTGTTTAAAGTGTGCACTGACCGTTAATTGATGGTATAGCATCACAGAATATAGATCATATTAGGTCTTTGTTAGTGTAACTGTTATAGGGAGTTAGATTAGTCGCCAGATTTGAGTTAGTCACTAATTGTCACGGTAGTGAATCTACCGTAATGAATGATAACTTACTTAATTTAGACATGTATATGTATCACGTTAAGATAGTTATTAATTTGGATATGTGCATGAATCATTTGACGACTTAATATAGCCGATACAAACCTGTTCCTAATACCGGTTAAATTATACTAAATATGGTATATGAATTGTCAATGGTAAATTCAATATAAATCCTGTTAATTATAAGCTAGTGTAAACATAAAGTTAATCTATAGTAATATCAAAAATTCATTGGATCAGACTAGGAATAGTTTAATGTATTCATTCATGTAGTCTCATTGGTCGAAATATATCACACATCGTAAACCGATTTTATGACTACAAAAGCTATTTAAATGATTGATTTTGAATATTAAATTAGACTTGCATTTTCTAGAATAAAGATATAGTTAGAAGATTCCGAAAGTACATTTCGCAGTTATTGTTACTTATCTAGGGTAATCTAATTAGTTTAGATTAGGCAAGTTTAGTTAAGTAACACTATTATAAGAGATTGACACAATTTTTCGTAGTTTAATAGATCCTTTATTATAGACTGTAAACCTTAAAATAATTAATTAGTTCTGTGGATGACGGTAAACAACGTCAGCCCTTATATTTGAGAATAATCTAGAATACCTACAAAATAATAAGATACAGCAGAATCGGACTATTAACTGTCGTAGTCAGCCTACGACAAGGAAACCTGGGCCTTTGAAGTTGCATGAATGCTAAGGCTACAACAGCCAAGCATGCCCCAACGGGCCAAGCGTAGACTAGTCTTAGGCTTTTAAAATAGTTTATTGAACCAAGGTAGTCTTGACATCCAAGACTACTCTAACTACACGCGTACACTACACGGTCAGTCGACAGCTCAGCTGCTAGTGAGAGCGCTGGGCTTTATATACCTTAGCTCGGTTACACTCGGTGCATAGCTTAGGAAAACAACTCTAAAACATACAGCTTTTGTATAGCCGACAGTCTATATGGTTTAGTATGGCAGATGGCGTAAACAACACTAATGAGTTATGAACTAATTAAGGGCCAATTAACAATCAAAGGCTCAGCACAAAGTAACAGAAATTACTATTGTGTGAATATTAGTTATCACCTCTGTAAATGCACTGCTCTGCACCGAGTCTACAACAAGTATAACTAGACTACTAATAATGTTACAATTATCGCATAGCTAATAAATAAATGTTATTAACAATTAATAAGATCTTAATTACTAATTACTAATTACTAAGGCTAATGCCACAATTAATTGACGGAGTATGTACTCCGTCACACTTATTAACATAATGTTACAGTACACCATATGAACTAGTGTTATTTCAAAATTACAAAATATTGTTTCTTCTATGCGATATAGAAATTGACATTATAAAATGTTTTATGCAGATGGTTATATGCAAACTCAATTAATATTATTAACCAAGAAGCATGGAATAATTCTCTAGAATTACGTCTGATGTAAGTAGAAATGAAACATTAATGATGTCAAAAGTAGATAACAACCGAAAGTTTAGCTATCCACCGTATACGTCAAATAAACCATGAGTATAGAACAGTATTTTTTGATAATTTGTTCTTCTAGCATTCAATTACATTTTTACACAGTTGCTAACCAAGAATGTTTTTTTCAAAAATTATCTTAATAGCTTGTGATCTACATAGTTAAAGTATTCTATTAGTGATGCTAAACCCTACAATTATTCATAATCACGCAAGCTAAGGCAAAAAACTCAAGAGCTTCTTTCCAGACAAATCTTAAATTCTAATTTTGTATTTTCATGCATTTCGTGATTTAGCTTTTATCTCATATAACAATCAATAAATTTCTAGATTAATAGCATCTTTAGCTAATACAACCATATGTGGCAGTGTTATATACTGTATTAGCGTAGAAATATCTGTGTTAGGATAATTTTGTTAGCCTATCCTTATTTAGCTAACTTCTAGTTTCAGTTCGAATCATTGTGTTTGTAACTTACTTATGGTAGATTGTAAATTGTCGTAGAAATGTCTCATGATAGGACATATCGTAATCTGACTATTCTGTATTAGTCATCAGATGTCTATGTTCATAAATACTGTAGTCTGCATTAGGAAGCGCTAGCTAAAATTAATATCTAATTCAGTGAATGATTCCAAAGTTAATCTTACTAACTATGACTTATGAACTAATGAAGAAGAGCATATAAATACAGTATATCGTATACTAAAGTTAATTCTTAAACTTAGTGTTTAACGTAAAATACGAGGCGTCTAAGTCTTTGTGTAGTCTGCTAGTAGAACAAAAGTGTTCCTGATAGTACAGATATCGTTTCTTGATACGTGGTTTAAGGAATTGGCTTATTGATCGTACATTGCGTTATCTTGTTGCAAAGCTATTTTGTGACACCATAGCTGCCTTTAAATCAAGTGAATCAAATCTAATAAGCGCATTGTCGATATTGTAAAAAATAATTGTTTGTGTTGATATTAACTTAGACGAATTAGATAAATATTTAATAGTAAGTTAGTGTATTCTATCAACAGAGATTTGTCCCATAACGATGTCACGAATATCAACGAATCCGGTTTATCACAATTTAAATACTTGAAAACATTGTAAGTTTGTTACTGTCAGTAGATATTCCAATGAGAACTTAAATATCTTATATGTCATGTTTATAACGCTAATCAATACGAGTATATGAAGCGAATTAAAAGTAAGTTTATTTAACTTCGTAGAACCCTTGGCATAAATAATCTAGTTCAAATAGATGACTTTATCTTTTCTGAATTATCCGAAGTTTCAAGCTTGTAAGAAACTATTTTTGAATTCTCAAATATAGTAACATGGTCAAATATTTTTGGACTTTGCTTAACCATTCCATATTGTAATATTTTGTATGTTTTTCAATTTAATTTAATGACAGAAAGCTATATGGCAATGATTTAACATTGATCAGTACTTATTCCTTCTATGGACTATGGAATATGGAAAAATTGTAATGCTGTGCTTAATTATTTTAAAGCCTTGAGTTTACATGCATAATTATGCTCTTATTAATAATTGATGCATCTTATTACAAAGAAATCGACCTAGAAACTATCAGAAAAGTTTGTTGCTTATTAAATTTTATATGATACTTACGATTTCTCACATATCAACTTAGGTACCTATTTGACAATAAAATAAGGGTCATCCTTCCGGAAGCTTTTGCTAATCTAAATAAGTTAGCTGTCGTGTAAGTAAGTGTATGTAATAGGTTAACGGTGAAGTGAAGCAATAAATAATGAATTAATTTAGTTTTATAACCCTATAGCTGTGTATTTTTTATGCAGTATTAGTTTATAATTTAAGAACAACTATGCATTTTTAGTTCTTTAACGCTTTGCGCCGCTGCAAATGTTTAATAGTTACATTATCGATCAATTATATTAATAAGCGAACTAGAATTGAGTAGTATTCCAAAAGTTTGATACTGCTGAATTAACTAGGGTATTTAATGAGTGAGATCAAATTGGTCTTTATCCAGTCCATAAAAGTCGAATATACGAGCCAGGCTTCTGTATATTGTTATAATCTATATTATATATAATTCAAAGATCATGGTGATTACGTCGTAGTTAGGCGTTATAGTTGAATAAGCAACGTAAATTATGCAGTCTGTAGAGGCTGATGATGAAATGGCTTGATTATTGTGTACGCTACTCTTTGTACTTCGCATTCCATGCTGTAACTAATAGTCTACCGACTGTCTTCTACTAGTAAAATAATGTGTTACAATATTTGAAAGATTTGGTGTTTACAAGCTTTGCTAGTATAAATGGCTGAAAAATACCTATTTTCTTACAATGCGAGCCTAAATATAATAGCAGTCAAGCTACTATCAGGATCCATTCCTTGCTATATTAATTTATTAAAAATGTGCACTTGGTTTATCCATGACCTAATGTGCCGCTAAACTGTGCGAACTATCGCTTAAGCTGATAAAGGTGTTGCTACAAAATTTGTAACGATATGCAACTACGGATACAGATCTAGAATGTGATAAAATTCTATATGATAGTAATTCCAACCATAAACTACAATTGAATTTGAGTATAGTATTACAATTTTAATGCGTTAATTCTTTTAAACCACCCATTTTCGTCACCGTCTAGTGATCTATCACGGAATGAACTAGTATCTATCAACAATCGTGTATTCAGCAAGTTGCCTTCTCTAGAAACATTGTATGTCATACCTACTTTATATTCTTATTGCCTTTTCATTTATAAGCTTAAAATCTAATGCAACGAAATGCTATATTGGGCTAAAATTAAGTTTTGATTTGTCTTATTCTAGGCTTATTCCAGATAATTTTGTCTTCAACATTACTGCAGCCACTTTTGAAGGCTCTTATAATCTTAGTACCATGTAAAATATATTTAGACGTTAAAGTATTTTTAGTCATAATGCTATTAGATAATCTGGGACCTTCAAATACCACTTTTTCAGAAAATTATCTGGAAATAGTGTCCGGCAGATTTCTGGCAGTTCATTCTCTAATTTAACTAATTTAAAAAAGCTGTAAGTTATTTATATAATTTAAACAAACTTGTAAAATCGACATAGCTTTATCTAAATCAATCGTGATTATCTACAGTAATCCATGTTTATGATTTTATGATTAGGGAGCTTACAATTTGCTCCGTTTCTGAACTTGGGACTGATATTTTCTCTAGCACATCTAAACTTGAGCAATTGTAAGTTTAAGTTATTCATTTCAGTAATCTAAATTGTTTTAATTTTGCCTTTTAGTTTTTCTATTTGGACCTTAGAGTTAATCTAATATAGGAAAAATGACTTAAAATTCATTTCTAAAGGGACCTTAGTAGCTGTAAAATTTCGGTGGTTTCCTCTTGGGCTTTCTCTAATTGCACTAACCTAAAAATGTTGTAAGTTTTTCATTTCCATGACTATAAGTACATAAATTACAAATGTGCTCTATTATCAATAGTCATTACCGTCAGGCAGAGTGCAATTTCTTAGAGACACTTTTCTGTTAGAAGTAAATCATTGCCAGTTATTTCAGATAAAACGATCAAGCTAATAAACTTTTAAGCTCACTATCGATACTGTTTTGTTAGATATAAGAGGGAGACAATTTGTTTGTATTTACTTAAATCTGATTATAAACGGTGCATAAATGATAATCTTAACTTAATTTTTTATAGAAATTTATCAGCTACATTAATACAAACCTTACCACCGTATTTATTCGGATTTAACACGCAAAATAATATTGAGGAAATGTAAGTTTATAAATAAGTTGATAGCGACGGTAATTTTTGCGATTTTAATATGATTCACATTGTCTATATTCTTTAATCTTAAGTTCATGTTTCACATGTATTAAAATTAAAGCCAAATCCACGTTCAGTTAATACCATTTTTTTGAAATGGTATTTATTTGATAAATCTAACTTATAAATAAACTGCTTATCATAGATATATAAATCGGAGCAGAATAGAAATAATAGATGAGAATGCGTTTTATGGGCTAAATAAGCTAAAGATTCTGTAAGATCAAAAACTAAATATCAGAACTGTTATTAATTTTTTCATCTATAAGAATAACTGTATATAATGTATATATACATCAGTTAAGTTATTTTATAATCCGCTTCTAAAATAATGATGTCTATCAATTATAAATTTAGAACGCTATGTACAAATTTTATTCGATACCTTCACCCTGATACTTTCAAATCGCTGATAAAGCTGGAAGAATTGTAAGTAGACAATTTGAATATCAATATCGCCACCACAGGTGTAAATATGTAGCATACCTGACGATTGTATTTACAGCAGTTTTCACAGCATCATGTAAGTTTGAATAATCGTTTATTAATCAATGTGGAAAGTACTGCTTCGATATTATCAATATACCGGATAAGCATTATTATGCCGACGTATTCATTGTACTATGTTTAGCAAATATTACTTCTATAGGACTTGATTTAATGAAGTATTCAAGAAACCAGTCTTACGAATTACACTATAGTTAGTTTGTGTTCTAAATCTATAGTGAAACTGTAAGGAAATATACATCACTTAAAGCGGTGAACCTATGTTCAAGCCCAGTAAAATATATGATGTGCAGATGGCTATTGCATGATTATAATAAAATCTAGTTTTCCTTGGATAATCGGCTTAATTATATAATCTGATTTAAGTAAATACTATATCAACAAGAATTCGTAAGACATATAGGACATATTCCCTTTATGCAAATAGAATCCTGAAATTTTTAAAGGATTAGTTCTTAACTAACAACATCAATTGCAGGAATCTCAATCAGAACAAAGTTAAATATCTCCACGATTTTGAATTCGCTAATGTCGGATGCTTAAAAGAGCTGTAAGCCTACTAAATAAATTAAAGTACCTGTATTCTTAAAATACAGAGATTCTTATGTTCTTTGATGTAAATTGAGTCATTTTAAATTTTATAAATGGTCGTAACTACTAATATTACTAATGAATGCTGTAAAAGTAAGCTGTATCGCAAGTTCTATTGGTTAACAAAATTAAGCGCCGTAGATCTAACTACATAAGGTCTCTTGCAAAACATGATACAAGATATAGTGTTACAAATGATTATTATATACTGTATTTTGTAGGTATTTAACATCTAATGAAATCAAATTAATGGGCAAGAAAGCATTTCAGGGTCTGAGAAAGCTAACACGATTGTAAGATTTGCTTGTACTATTAACGTAACCTGTGACTTATTTGTAAATTTCTTAGACCAAAATAATTTTGTGACAGTGTTATATACCGTATTAGAGTATAAATATCTATGTTAGTATAATTTTATTAGCCTATCTTTATTTAGTTAACTTCTAGTTTGGATATACTGTCTTTTAATGTAGCACTGGCTTTTTATGACTGTGATGTATATATATATATACTGAAATTAATAGTTATATTAGGGAATGCGAATTATCTACTTACTGTTCGTATCATTGTGTTTGTAATTGTAACTTACCTATGGTAGATTGTAAATTGTCGTAGAAATGTCTTATGATAGGACATATCGTAATCTGACTATTCTGTATTAGTCATCAGATGTCTATGTTCATAAATACTGTTGTCTGCATTCGGGAGCAGTAGCTAAAATTAATGTCTAATTCAGTGAATGATTCCAAAGCTAATCTTACTAACTATGACTTATGAACTAATGAGGAAGAGTATATAAATGCAGTATATCGTATACTAAAGTTAATTCTTAAACTTAGTGTTTAACGTAAAATACGAGGCGTCTAAGTCTTTGTGTAGTCTGCTAGTAGAACAAAAGTGTTCCTGATAGTACAGATATCGTTTCTTGATACGTGGTTCAAGGAATTGGCTTATTGATCATATATTACGTTATCTTGTTGCAGTGCTGTTTTGTGACAAATATATTTTCACGACGTAGACCTTAGCTAAACTTCTTTTATTAAGAAATTTAGAAAATTTCTATACCATAAGCATAGTTCTTAAAATTTATTTCCATTATCTAAATCAAATTATACTTTATGTTTCATCTACTGATTAAAATATAGTCTGTCATGACTTGTGAAGGAATTATTGAATCATATGATAGGCATATCAATAACAATTACTTAATTTCGCTCAATCGGACTGTTTTCGCCGGATTATATAACCTCACTTATCTGTAAGTGTCAAATTAATAATTTATAGCCAATTTCAACGCATATTCGTATATGAATCTTATCATCTACAAAATCGAGAATATGGTTAAATTTCAAAAAATTCATTCAATTATGGCTATTAAACAGCATATCTAATTATACTACGCTTCACAAACCAATTTTAATTTTCGATGACCTACTTAGGTTATTAGATGAAAATCAATTAACAGCCATTCAAGACTTTCAATTTGCTGACTTATCTGCATTGCAGTATTTGTTAGTTATTATTTGCAATTTTTAATAGATTATACCAGTAAACAGAAGGAAGATTTTCATTATATCATTGAATATTCAACATTAGATTTTTAAGGTCGAATAAAATCAAACATATCCAAGCCGATTCATTTTCTGGCTTGGATCATATACAAGAGATGTAAGAGATCAAATATATCTTGTTACTTCAGTTATATTTTATTATATTTAAGTGTATTATGATACCTTCAATAAATCGAAATAATATAATTTAATATAAAGAACAAAGCTTGATTACGTGGATGCATTTACGGATGATATGCTTGCAGTTGCAATTGAATGTGATGTTTTCTTTTAGCTTATATTTTATCTGTTTATATGTTGTCATGCTAGATTGCTCAATGGAAATCCTCTATATTTTGTAACCGATCTACCCTTAGGCAGCTTTAAAGTTCTTCATCACTTGTAAGATAATATTCTATATAATATGATATTTCAATATGAATACTTAAAACGAAGTAAGCACAATCATAAAGTTAAGTCAAAGACTTTATTAGGCGGCAGTATGGATCTAAATTTTCTTCAAATTTTAGCAATTTAGAGATTTACTACTTTTGAATTTACTATATATATATTAAAACACAATAAATCTCAGATTCGATCTTAGTAGCGTATTGATATCTACCTTCTGCACTTATGTAGAATATTCACGAGCTATTGCATTAGATACGCATATATAATTTTATCGCTAGCATAGTAATGAATTAGAAACGTATCATTAAAAGACTATTTGTTCTATATCAAAATATTTTCATATTTGGTAGTTTCTAAGTTTTGCAATGCAATAATCAAATTTATTATTCTATCTTTTTATGGTTAGCTATGCTATGTGGTCTAACATTATAAATTTTCTGTCTTTAAATAGAGGCCTATCGAAAAATAAACTAAGAAGTCTTAAAATTGCGTCCGTATCGAATATTACAAACAATATTTACGAATTGTAAATGGGTTTATTATTTCCTAATTTCGATATTGTAAAATTTAAAATCAAAGAAATAGCTCATGAATAAATAGCAGTTGTAAGCTTAAAGAATGCCACCATGTCGATACTGTTCGTTGAATTGATTTGCCTGTGTCCCCCCTTAAAATACCTAAATTTTGTTGTATAATATCTATAATTGTGTAAGCTATAATATAGGTATTAAAGATAAATCTATTCAAGGTGATTAAACATAAAATCGAATTACTTTGTATCGATTATTGTATTCGTTATTTTTTCAATAGGGATTTATCCAATAATTTAATGACCGAACTCAATATTCCTAAGAGCTTTCAATGTTTACACCATATGTAAGTTTATTTATCGGCAAATTTTGCATTTTATATAATAGAAGTAGATTAATTAAGCCATCAGATATAAATGACTTTGTTATGTGCTGCAAGTTATGAATCTACTGTTACTTTAACTCTATCTAGAATACTAAATATACCAAATATTTATTACAGCAATATTTCTCATAATAAATTTGTCGACATTACAAGCATACATCTAAATAATGTTTCCTGCGTCTCATCTCTGTAAGTAAATGAAATTTTCCCAAATTCATAAATAAATCATTTTCACTTAATATCTTTTTAAATCTCCTATAAAATTTACTTGAAGAGAATTACGATATTTTAAGTATTGATTCAGAGTGAATTATCATGTTTGGTAATGTCAAATATTTTACGAAACCGATAGCAAACCGAATATAATTATAAACTGAACTGAAATAGTTATCTATAAATGGAATTTAAAATGAATTCATTCTCTTCACTAAATCTTTAGCGATATCAGTCAAAATAGAATCACTCGATTTCAATTCGACGTTTTTTCTTTCCTTAAAGATCCAACAACTCTCGCTGTTTTGTACGTGATTATAATTGGCAGAAAAACGTCATTAAACCATATCGTGATAAATTTACATTAGTTTGATTTCTAAATGTCATATTGTTTTTTATGCCGTGTAATAAAAGGAATATGTCCAGTAATCACTTGGAGTATGTCAAGCCTGAGATGTTTGCTCCAATATCACACTTAATCGAGCTGTAAGAATTTACATGTAAATTTGTTTGATTTGAATAGAATTACAAAATATCATTTCTCCTTACAAAGATAAAATAAAATAGAATAAAACTTTAAGCTAACTAACTGTCTTTTACAAATTATTACCTCTAGTATTTTAATAAATCAACTAAACACTATAGAACGAAATTATAAAATTGTTCAAACTCGTATCTGATACTGTATTACGCATCATTGAGATCGATTTATCAGGAAATTGAGAGCCAGAAAGGCTAATTAAATCGTGTTATGTATTAATTGTTTTTGCATGACATCATTAGGACCATTTATGACAATTATCTTGAAACGTTAGACTTCTTGCAATTATTGCATCGTCTGAATATACTGTAAGTATTGTAAGTTACTATTTAATGTAACATATTCAAACACTACTCACATTTATTCGCATAGGTTCATCTAAGATATACACTATTTAATGAGAATTTTATATTGTACATTTATTCATTTAAAACTTGTTAGAGTGGTCGCCAAAAATCGAATAAAAGATTTGAAAAGCGGCTACTTTAAAAACTCGACCAATTTGACACGTTTGTAAGAACCGATAATATTTAAGCTATTAAGTCATTATGTAGCAAGAAATTGAAATTTTACATACGCAATGATTCTTACGTAATCTAATGTCGAACATAATATACGTAATAATAAGATGTTTGTAATGTTTAACGCCAATTTTGCTATCTATCGTAGAAACATGAGCTATAACAAAATCGAAACTCTTCGAAGTAGAACATTTGAGAAGGGTAGAAATATCTTGCGTTTGTAAGTTAAAAGAACCATATATATTAAATATACTCCACATTAGTATTCCTTAAAATTCATAAAATGCACTTTTGACCATTGTTTATAGAGACTTGGATCATAATAAGATTTCTTTTATAGAAAATGAAGCATTTCTCGGCTTATTAAAGTTACAGATTCTGTAAGCTAATGATTTCTATTAAGAAACATGATATAAAATAGCTATTTGCCGACTATTTTTCCTGAAAGAGATTAACTGCATATGATATTACGTTACTAGGGATATCAGTTATAACCGCATAATTTCATTAAAAGGAATATTCTCTCAAGATTTGACTCACCTAATTTTACTGTATGTCAATATTGGATAACGTGTATCCTGTAATAGCTTAAATATTTTACTAGATCAGTGATATGGTACTGCTATAGATTAAAAATTGGCTTTAATTTAGCAGTAGAACAGTGAAACACAATTTTTCTGCTATGTACAAAACTTTAACTTTCTCTGCCAGTACAAGTTTAATACGAATAATCCAATATAGATTTTTAATATGATCAAATAAGTAAGCGTATGTAATTTAAAATTAGTAAATTCTCTGGATTTAGAAGCTGACATATCCAAAATATTTCATTAAAGACTATCTAAAAGATTAATTTAGTCCTTTAATTTGTAGTAAATTTTTATCAGTAACTCATTATTAATTTTAGGATAGTTATAGCAGGCTTTCTTTACCGGGCCATTAAATTATTTTATTTTAAATCGATAATATATTAATATTTTTTTTCAATCTCAATTTTATTATCTAATTTTTGTTTCACAAATTCAAGAAATTGTAATGGAAATCAAATCACTTCTATAGCTGGAGCACCGTTTTCTAATTTGAAAAAGCTTGACAAATTGTATGCTTAGTAATTATAGATTCTCTATCCTATCCTAGATACTTAGTATAATTGGATCCATAAGATTACTAAAATTAAAAAAATTTAATTATTATTCTCCAATTAAAAATTATTTATATTTAGATATTTAAATCAAAATCAGTTAACAGAAGTGGCTCCTGATAGTTTTAATAATTTGATTCATTTGCATATCCTGAAGTATGTAATCTAGAAGAAACTTTTAACTGGCCTTAAAGGGCACAAAATTGATTAATTTATTGTAAAATGATAAGTTGTGATATATAGCGATCACAAAATTCCAAATTTTAGAAAAATAAGGGCTTTATTGAATCTTATACAAAGATTAACTACACACAGCTCTACTCTAGCCGAGTACTACTACTAAAGACTTCTAGAACGAACTAACAGAATAATCTAAAGTTGCATGCTTCTATGCTTTTCGTAGCATTCGCAGCTACAATCCGCATGGCAACCTTTTACCTTATTTTACACTTAGTAAAATTATTCTTAGTAACACTATTCTACTGCAGACCATCATTAATCCGATATGGATACGACTACAGTATTTACGTAGACGTTATTCACACCAGCAATAGTATAATGAATTAACCATATCCTAATATATGATTTGCAGTTCTATTTTTACCTGTAACCTTATTAGTAACTCAACACCTTACTGTATATAGTCATCTATACTTTAGCATAGAGTCTATACCACTATAGTCTATAGTTATGGCTACCAAATATCTCTTAGGATAAATATCTACCGCACATTATACTAAACATGGCTAACAGTCTACAATTACAATACTAAGTTACATTACACAAGTACTTAATGGTAACTGCAATCATTTTGTGTATATCTCTCTTTGAAACAGCTCAATAGATCATAATAAACTTACCCGTTTATCCTGTCTATCAATCTCCGAAAATATCCATGATTTGTAAGTAATACGATTACAACTTGTTCTTATTTATACCATTCAACTAAATCAATTAAATTTTTATATTATTTTAAATCAATGCATAATAATTATGGCATTATGACAGAGTTGGTAGTAAAATTAAATCCGGCATTATTTCCAATTTTTCGATTTCGATTGTAATTGTATTGGCGAAATACTGCTCGCATTTGCGTATATTCCTGTAATCATCCTTTTAAAATGGCTAAAGAATAGCCTTTCTCAATACGATTAGTTAAGCCATTCTACAGAACAAATTTAATTATTGCTACTGTCTTGATAAATTTAACATTTTAATCTATCAGTACAATACTTAGAGTAAAATTCCAGTCTAGAAGTTCACATGCGTTGTTTCACTAATTAAAATTTGCAAAGACAATTGTGCAATAATTAAATGAAATTAGTTTTAAGACGGGCTATGGAAGACTGATTACGAATATTTATACTAACTTTTATGATGCAATTGATTTAAGCATATTCTAACTATATTTATATTACTGGATGTATAATTTAGGAGTTTAAGTCATAACAATATATCCTATATCTCACCAAGTTGCAATAAAACATTTGGCAGTTTACTGAAGAGATTGTAAGTCACAATTCATTTATTATCTCTTTTAAATCTAAAATAGAACTAAGACATATCAAAAACGACTATCTGTTATAGAGGACATATATAAATATGTAATGATCTCAGCTAATTGCAGTAATACGGTATGTGACTGATAGAATATGGACTTGCACTGCTTCTACTATGAGACTGTAATAGCACACGTCTATGTAC